TGTTCCGCCCTCCCAATTTGGTCGCACCCCGAAGCAAATTTTCCCATAAGGTTCAATGTAATTACCGTTAATCCGTTCTGGCGTCCGCGGACCACGCGTCGGGTGGAAAAGTGCCCGCGCGCGGCGGGGCAGCAAAACACCCACGCACCACGCGTCAGGGGCGGCAAAACGCCCGCGCGCTGTGCGTCGGGCGGAAAAGCACCCACGCGGCGGGGCAGCAAAATGTCCGCGCACCGCATGTCAGGGGCGGAAAAGCGCCCACGCGTGGCGGGGTGGCAAAACACCCGCACACCGTGCATCAGGGGCAGAAAAGCGCCCGCGGACCACGTGTCAGGGGCGGAAAAACAGCCGCAGACCACGTGTCAGGGTGGAAAAATGGCCGCGGACCACATGTCAGGGCGGAAAAATGGCCGTACCTCGAGGCGGAGTTCGCACATCGAGGTAAATTTTTGGGGCCAGAGCTGGTCGTATCTCGAAAATTTCGTAAGTAGGGGCGTTCGTAAGTAGAGGTACCACTGTAATATCATAGGGTGGTTAATTTTTTTAAATTGTGATTTATATATAAGGCTTTATCTTTTCTGCAGCTAAGGTTTGTGGCTCTCCTGAAATAACACAGCTTGTTTTCTTTTCTTTTTTTCCCCTTATGTCTCTCCTCCCAACACATCCAGCGGAGCAAATAACTCAAAATAAAAGTTTGTTTTTTTTCAATGTCTGGATAAAAATGGAATCTGTATCTGGGATCAGGGGAGGGGAGCAGAAGGACTGAAAGGTCGTAGCTCCCTTTCTACAAATGCTAGCTTTGTAGCTAGCACCAGGAGAAACAGAAAAGAGGCCATCCTTTTGAATTACCTGCCTTCTCTTGCTGTACAATAGATTGATTTTTGCTACACAAGATGAAAAAGAGCCATGCTGACGGGAATGTTTGAATTTGAAATCATTCATAAATGGAGGGCGCCAGGCTGGGGAAAAGTCTTAGGTGAAATGAACGACATATTTCTAGTAGGCTGATAGCTGTGTTTAGATTAAGAGAACACCATGCGGCTCATATTCTTGGAGTTGCTAAAGAGGCAGGAGTTGTCTAACGGGGACAGGTCTAACGCTTCAGTGCAATCAAAATATCAGGGAAATTGCCCAGTTAGGTAAATGGGGAAAGGATAAAATGCCTTTTCTTCCTAATAATATCAGTATGATACTAAAGTGGGTTATGATTAGCCTTTTAACTATATCTTTAATGTTAACTTGCTAAGCTTCATCTGGGAAGCAGATGTAGGAATTTTAAAGAGACTGGCCTGTTTCCCTTCATTTCTCCAGACATGTCTAGCTGTTATCCGAGACTCTATGACTTTTCCTGGATCCTGGCATTCCTTCATACCTGTGGTGGAGCACACTTCTTCCAGAGAGATTTGGAGAAGGGATGCAAGTGGAGAGGTGCAAAATGTTTCCAGTTTGGAACAGCTGTTCTGACCTCACCCACCAGACTTCTGATCTTATTGGAAGTGGTCATGTGCAAAATACCTTCTGTAAGATCAAACAGTGTTGGAACGCTTTCACAGAAGAAAGCCAGTTCACGCTTGAAATGTTTCAAATCTGAAGCTTTTTGCACCTCCCGGAACGTAAGAATAGGAGAGACTTGATTGCAAATTTCTGAAGATAATCCATCTGCTTGATTATTGAGTCATGATTTCCCTGTGCAAATGTTTAGCTTTCTGCGATTTTTCCACAGTTGAATTCTTTCCTATATATTCTGACTAATAAATTTAATTTGCCCTGCTTACCAAATTTCCTCTTCTTTTGAGTAGCAATTTTGATGCAGAACACATCCCAGTTCTTAAGCTTATTCCCAACTTAAATATAAAGAATGGGTTATTGTACTTTGAAACGCCTGTGGTCAAGAACTGGATTTTAATGCAGCAATCCAGCTGGCCATTGCCAAGTGACTTTTGCTTAAATCAGTGTTTAATGCTGGCTGAGGAATTCTGGGAGCTGCAGTCCACGCATCTTAAAGCCAAGGTTGAGAAACACTGGCTTAGCGGAATGAAAAAAGCACCAAAGGGGAACCATTTGACACCACTGTCAACCAAGAGAAACTCCTAAAGACACTGGGGTTTTCGTAGTCCTTTGTTTATAGCGAGGGGTGAAATTCTCGTAGGAAAATGCAGACCAACATTTTCTGTACTAGTGAGATAAATAATTCGTTATCCTGAGGCTTTTTGACTGGACTAGTTTGTTCCTTGAACCGCCGGATTCAAATCTGTACATGGGTCACTTTAGCACAGGCCCTGGACCTACAGTGGGGCAAAAAAGTATTTAGTCAGCCACCAATTGTGCAAGTTCTCCCACTT